CTTCTTTCACATCTGCCTACCTGCTAATGATTAGCTAGAAATATAATGTGTGTCATTGTGTTGAGTGCTGTGTTTTGTAATATATACTTTTTTTCCTGTAAAACCCAAGTTAGACAAGCAAGAAATGTGTTAGGATGGTTGGAATTTAAACAATGACCATTAAACATATGGGATTTGGTACTAAACTATTTAAATGGTTATTTCTTTTTAGTAATTAAAACAAACACCTCTGATTTTACTACTCTAAATTTGTTTATGTATTCCTTGTTATGTGTTGCTTGTATTATTATTTTTTTTTAAGTATGTTTTTATTGATTTTGGAGGGGGGGGAAAGGGACAGAGAGAGAAAAACATTGATGTGAGAGAGAAACACTGATCAGTTGCCTCCTGCACACCCCCTACTGGGGACTGAGGCCACAACCCAGGCATATGCCCTGACTGGGATTCTAACCATCAGTCTTTTGGTGCATGGGACAACACTCAACCAACTGAGTCACACTGGCCAAGGCTGCTGGAATTATTTTTAAATATTGTTTTAAAATATTAGAATATATAATGTAAGGAAAATCAAACTGCATTAGACAGATTGTGTGACCTGTAGTGCAACACTGGCCCCAAGCAATTCCTCATGATTCTAAAGCTTAACAATTGACACTGGGTATAAACACAATCCACGTTTTTTAGTATTCCCCCTTAAATCATATTTGTATTTTTTCTGTTTAAATATTTGCATCATATTTTGTGTTTGAAAGAGATTTGTACTTACTTCTTAACAAGAACAAGTTACAGTCACTTCTAAGATGTTCATTTGGGGCATTTAGAAATGTTAACATAGAAAGGTTAATTCTCTAATGTAAGGTTATTAAGATTTTATGTTTCCCAATTATTTAATTTTTGGATCCATAATATTACTTATTAAAATTGCAAATACAAACTATATAGACATTGTCTGTATCTAAAAATATTTTTTAATATATATATATATATATATATATATATGGTCTAAAATAATAGTTCTCCAGTTGGCTCCATATTAAAACCACCTGGGGAATTCTAAAAATCCCTTACTAATCCATATGTCACATCAATAAAATCAGACTCTCTGGGGTGGAGCCCAGACATCAGTATTTGTATTAAAGCTAGCCTGGTAACTCTAATGAACAGCTAAGATTGAAAACCATTTGCCTATAAAACTAACTGTAGAACAGAACATATGTAATCCCACAGTATAATACTCCAGTGTAATTAATATAAACTACTCATAATATGCAAAGTTTTCTATTAATTCATATTGTTAAATAGCATTGGAAACCGCATTATTTCACTTTCAGTGTTACAAATAAAGAGAACTCAAATATAGCACAGTCATGCACCATTTAATGGTAGGGATAAGTTCTGAGAATCATTATTAGCTCATTTTGTCACTGCAATCATAGAATGCGTTTCCATAAACCTAGATGCAGAAGCCTACTGCACACCTAGGCTACACAGTAGAGCCTATGGCTCCTACTCTACAGCCCATACAGCATGTTTCTGTACAAAACTACATAAGATAAAATCAAGCACGAGAGAAAGTGATGCAATTAAGAGATGTGGTAAGCCCTGGCTGATGTGGCTCAGTTGGTCGAATGTCATCCCATGCACCAAAAAGTTGTTGGTTCGATTTCCGGTCAGGGTACATACCAGTAGGGAGCATGCAGGTGTCAGCCAATCTCTTTCATGTCAGTATTTCTCTCTCTCAAATCAATTTAAAAAAAAAAAATTAAGATGTGATAAACAAGAGATGTATGAGGCCGCTGTTGGCATAACATGGCACATTATTTTATAATAAACTTTTTGTTTTCATAGGTGGAAAGAGTACACTTTAAAATAATGATTAATATAACAGATACATAAACCAGTTATATAGTTGCTTATCACCATTATCAAGTACTATATGTTGCACGTAATTGTACGTGCTATACTTTAATACATGGGCAGGGCAGTACATTAATTTACACCTACATCACTATAAACACCTGAGTACTGTGTTGGACTACGACATTATGAGGGTTATGATGTTATGAGGTGATAGGAATTTTTCAGCAAAATTATATTATTGGACTAACCACTGTGTATGCGGTCTGCCCTTGATTAAAATATCATGTGCCATATGACTGACTGTATTTGAAAACTAGCTTTTTTGTTCATTATGCTTTCACATTATTTGTAGATACTGATAAAAATTTGATGCTCCCTGAAAGGTGGGGTAAGGGACCAGCAAAGTGTAAAACTATATGTAGTATATGCTGCAATACATTTTGGTGCTTGTATATGTGGAAGGAATATTTTTGAAAATAGAGAAAAGAATCTGGTGATAGTGATGCTTTTAGGAGCAAGAACTGGGGAAGTGGACTTCAGCGTCTCTTTACACCAAAAGGAATTCAAAGGAGTTGACAAAATGTTGGAAGTAAATGTGAATTTGGAAAGGCCATAGGATTCAAGTTCATTATATATGTTTAATTATATTTTTATATATTAGCAGTATCAAAAATAAAGCTTAAAAAACTTTTACAATGGTATCAGTAAAATGACTAATACTTATGAATTATATTAGTAAAATTTGCATAAGACTTTCATCCTGAAAACTATAAAACATTGCTGAGAGAAATTGAATAATGCCTCAGAAAATACAGTAATAAATCATGCACATAGACTGGAAAACTCAGAATTGTTGAAATTTTCTCAATTAAAATAGAATTAATATGAACCCTATCAAAATTCCAGCAAGTTATTTTTGAAGAAACAGATTATTCTGAACTTATGTTGAAATGAAAAGTATCTGGCATAATCAACGAATACTGAAAAAGAACAAAGTTGGAGAATTTACAAGTACCTGATTTTAAGAGTTACTATAAAGCTCTAGTAATCACAAGAGTGTAATGTTAAACAAAATGAAACCAGAAATACAGGCATGCATGTATGGTGAAATGATTTTCAAAAGGTCTCAAGTCAGTTTAATGCAGAAAGGAAATGTACTTTGTAGCAAATATTGCTAATACAAGTGGGTAGCCATATGAAAAACATGTCTTCACCCATCATACTCAATTACTCTATATACAAAAAGTAATCAAGATGATAATAAATGTAATTTGAAGCTTCCAAATTATAAAAAAATTCATAATCTTGGAGTAAGAAAACACACAAAAGTTAAAAATAAAGAAATATTGATAAATTTGACTTAAGCAAAATTAAAATGTTTTATTTCTTTTTTTTTTTTTTTTATCCTCACACGAGGACGTTTTTTTTTCCATTTTTTGTTCAGATAGAGTGGGAGGGAGAGAGAGAGAGAGAGAAACATCGATGTGAAAGGGACACATCGAGTGGATGCCACCCGCACGACCCAACCAGAGCTGGGGACAAACTGCAACCGAGGTATGTGCCTTTAGCGGGAACCGAACCCGGGTCTCTCTGGACCGCAGGCCGATGCTCTAACCGCTGAGCCAAACTGGCCAGGGCAAAATGTTTTATTTCTTAAAAATATCTTTAAGAAAATGAATAGGCAAGCAACATACTTTTAAAAAATATTTGCAATATACATATCTGGGAAAATACTTAGATCCAGAATAGATAAAAAAATCCTAGGAAGTAAAAGACTTGAAAAAAATACAAAAGAAGATATTCGAATGGCAAATAAAGGTTTTCAAAATTACGGATCATCAAGGTAATGCAAGTTCGAAGTACAATGAGACACCAGAACATGGCTGCTAGAATTGTTCAAGTCAAATGGGCCACACTAAATTTCTAAGAGAACATAGAGGACCTGGAACTTACTAATCTAGTTTGTATAAAGGTAAATCTATCTATCCTGTCACTCAGCAGTTTTATACCTAGGTATTAATCCAAGAGAAATTAAAACAAATATTCACAAAATAAATTTGTACATAAATGGCTATAGCTGCTTTATTCATAATAACCCACTTCTAAAATAATCCAAGGTAGAATATATCCATACAATTGCAAACTATTCTGGTATAAAAATATAATAACCTTTTAACACACAACTTGGAAATATCTTAAAGTTTAATGCAAATAAAAATTTACAAGCAAAAGAGTACATGCTATATTAATCTATGTATTTGATATCCAAATACAAGCAAAAATAATATATGGTTACAGAAAAGAGTTAGTAATTGTGAAAGGAAGTGTTAAAAGAACTGACTAAACCGTGGATCATTTTCTGGGAGGTGGAAATGTTCCGGATCTTTTTTTAGGTGTTTGTTGTATACCATGTAAAATTGTCAAAACTCATTGAAGTGAACATTTAAGATCTGGACATATAATTTTAATTATATTTTAATTAAAAATGATTTTACAATTAGAATTGTAAAACAATTATACCATGATAAAGTAATATTCATTTAGTCCCTGAATGCTCAGGTATCAGAACAGAAGGGTAGTTTGAAAGAAAATTCCCTGTTAAAAAATAACCTTAGTTGGGCCTCAAAATTTAAACTAACTATAAGCAATAACCACAAAGATAGATGATAGATGATAGATAATAGATAGATAGATAGATAGATAGATAGATAGATAGATAGATAGATAATAGATAAATGATAGATAGATAGATAGACGATAGATAGATGATAGATAGATGATAGATAGATAGATAGATAGATAGATAGATAGATAGATAGATAGATAGATAGATGATAGATCGATCGACTCAGAGATTTCTTTACTTGGCATTTGAAGCTACCATATATTCATCCTGTCATAGACATCTGTGGTCTGTTTGAGCATATGCAATTACCTGTGTTCTATTTCAGAGGTGTGATTTAAATAGTAAAAGAGTATTGGATTCCCTAAAATATAAAATGTATTTTTTCTCATCTCCTATTATCTGATGTCTCTTTGACACAAAAGCACATTTGGCTTGTTCCCCCTAAAATATGTACATTTGAAAGTTGAAGGTGGTATTCTAAAAATACAATAAGCAAGTATTTTCATTTTTTTCCCCATGTCCTCCCATTCATAGTACAAACTAGGCAAAGGGCCCGGGTTGAGGTGTATATGGGTGGTGTACTCTGCCTCCTCTGTCTGTGCAGTGAGAGTAAGAACATGGCCTGTGGTGAGCACCAGGAGGCCACACAAGTATTTTCTTATAGATTCGGACTGCAATGGATGTCGTCCAGACTATAGAATATTGACAGTGTTTCTATTCTTTTGTTGTCTAAAATTGCATTTTCTTTGGCAGTGCCAAAGGTTTTATTCAATATATGAATTAAATGACACTTTTAGGCTTTCTATATAGATTTTTTTTCTCCTGAGGACATCTTATGTCAATGTATACCACTAACATGTTTCCAGTTATGCTTAATAGGTAAAATATGTTACATGTAGGCGTTTTATATGTAACAGGTTTCTGTTTTTCTGATTAGCTCTGATGTACAAGTTCAAAATATACAGATTATATTTTTAGGGAAAATGTTCAATTCTTCAATGAACATGTAAAATAATGCCTATTGTGTGTATATGTGTGTGTGTATACATATATATATATGTGTATATATATTTAGAAAGAGAGAGGTTTTTGTTTACAAAATATTCTAAAAATTAATATTTTAATAAATCAATAAATATCCCACCAAATTGAAATTATGTACTATTTCACAATTAATGTTTTGGTTATTGTTTAAGAAAATGAAATAGCACTTGTAAATTGCCATGTGTTTTATTGAAATGCCGATCAGAAGAAAATGGCTTGGAAAATTGACATCTTGCGGTCATAGAACTCAGTTGACTATCTATTTGAAAATATAATACATAAAAATCACTTTAGAGCAAACTTAGGAAGAAAGTTTTGGCTTGAAGTTTAGGAAATGTTGGAAAAAGGGGTGTTTTGTTCTTGCTAATGTTCTTTTTGAAACCACCACTTTCTATTTTCCAGTTCAGGAAACACGATTACAAACAGTTGGGTAACATGCAACAATTCTGACTCAATAGAAGTAAATACAGTCACAGAAACACGGAGGCAAAGAGAACTACGAGGACGGAGAAGCTGCACCTCCATCATGGCAACTCCTTATTTCCTGGCATCCAGATGATAACCTTTTGGAGTCAGAAGTATGGAATACCTTCTTCTATAGAAAATGCTGTCTTCCCTTTGCAGGGGGCGCAGGATAACCATCTGTTAACTATCACGGACAGCATAACCTCTTTACGTAGAGTCATTCTTTACTTTTCTGGTTTTTTATCTCATTTAATTCTGATCCCTCACTCTGAATTCCCCTCAATGTCTCTAATGTCTCTGAAAGCATTATATAGACAGGAATAGCTATATGTGCAGCTTTGCAAATACCCTATAGCTCCTGACTGGTTATGAATTTCTCACCAGCGATAATACAAGGAAACATACCATCTTTCTTATTTTCTAGAGCAGGTAGAATTTACTGGTACATACTTCTTGGCTGACATAAACATTGTAAATACATAATATTGTTATTGGCTTTTTTTCTTTTGAAACTATTATTTCCATACCTGGTGAAGTTATCTTGGATCACTATCTCCTCTGTCACAAGGGAGGACCACATGACCCAGGGGGGCCTTTATTCCTACATCACCATTGGTCCATGATAACCATGTTAAAAAAAATGTATAGCATAAACCTGATAAATGACTATTCTTATTTAATAGTAAATGTATGGAGTAGGGCAGTACAGGGATTGTATTGTGGTGAGGCAATGTTCTCAGGAACCCAGATTTTTATCATTCTGCTGCACCATTTTGACTAATGGCTTCCATTGTCCTTTGCCACCTCATGGTGCAAGGTGACAGCTAGCACTTGAGTCATCACCTTGCATGCCAAAAGGAGAAGGAGCAGGACACAGGAAGAAGAAACCCTTTACCTTGAGGGAGCTGCCTTTAACCTCTTTCTGGAAGTCCCACAGTATACATCTGCTTACATTCAAATGGTCAGAACTTAGACACATGGTGACACCTAGCTGATAGGAGAGCAGGAAAATGTGATGACTTATTCTGATGGGGAACTCAAGAAGTTAAAAATGTTTAGCTTTAGATATATAGTTAATAGGCTTGGTAATTCATGCATGTAGAAAGCTATTGTTCCAGGAACTGGAATGTATGATCAGACCTGCCCTGACTTCAGGAGACCCACAAGGAACTTGACCTTTGTGTCCTCAGGAGGACTGCAAGTGAACAAGACAGTATGTGAACCATTGTGCTCCAGGGAGAAAATACCTGCCACTAAGGATGCAGATAAAGCATCACAGGTCAGCAGATGAAGGGATACTCTGAAAATCACCGGACTGCAGCTTTTATCTGATCAACCTTTTCCCCTGAATTCCAAACCCTTTTCCCAACACCTATTTTCTCCTTCTAAAAAGGGTCAGGTCGGCTTGAGATGAGAGGTAAGACGACCTTTTTAGGGCACACAACCTGCCATCTCCCCATCTGAATAAAGCGTCGATAAAGATTCAGTCTCGGTCTCCTACTTACTGTTTCTGGTCATGCCAGGCAGCACGGATGCCAACTTTTCAGTTTCAATTCTGTATAGCAATCTTTCCACCTAAGGTTTAGGATTCTGTTTCTAAGGAGGAAGTAAAAGTGCTTATGGGGGATAGGCAATTTATGAGTCTCTATTAATAAACTAACAAGGCTAATTAATGCCATATGGCTATTGAAAGAAAGTATTTCTTTCCTTTAGAGATTGCAAGTATTATAACCTCAAGTTGCCTTAGGTCATTTTTTAAAATACATAGAAAGCACCCATTTCAGAAGATGCCAATAAAGTAAGGGAGAGCTTAGAAATGGAGAAAATGGAGATGGGCCACTTATGACTCTATTTGAATACTTGAGTACAAATTGTGTCTGACCTCAACTCCATCTACTATTTGGAACCGAGGCAGAAAGTTTATTTTTCTACTAGTTTGTGTTGATTTTCTGTCACTGACAAACAAGAGTCCTAACTAATGCAAACACCATACTATTTGTCTTGCTTAACAAAATCTTACGGACTTCTAATATTAATGTTCTTGTCTGTATATGCTGATTTACCTAATACCTAGGCCATTTCATTGCTTTATAATTACCTGGGAAATATAAATCTCTTTTCACAAGAAAACCAGAGTCAGTCTCTATTTAAAAGTGATTTGCAAACCCAGGCTTCCATGAAGATAGGAGATAGACTAAACACATTTTTTTTTTTAGTATATTCTCTACACGATAAATGTCATTACAGCTTCTAGTGATATCGATTATCTGGAAAGCTGCAGGTTGCTTTGCATTGCAAAGTGTTTGGTGGATCTGAAAATAAATTTCATGTTACTTCTCACCAATCACGGTAATATTCCTCAATGAGCACTTACACGGGCAACCTATTCTTCTAGAGGAGATGGGGAGAATATGTGGATGCACCAGCAGCTGAAAATAACACCAACTTGCAGCTTGTCCTGGTGGAATCCTGCTACTCCTGCTTTGCATTTATACTTTTATTATTTTTTTTTAACTTTCACATTATTCTTCCAGGTCGAGAAGAGAAAGGTGTATAAAGTAAAACAAATTACCAATGACATATTTTCTTTATGAAGAGGTGAATCTATAATAAGCTAGCTCTCTAGACATTCCCATAATTTCATTTTTAAAAACCGCATGCCAATGCAATGTAATTTTCAGTGGGAATTTTTTTAAATTTGCATTATGCAGTTTTTGAAAGGGTTATATTACAGCCTGTAATGCCATCTATTGCACTTGATGACAATTTGTGATTTTTTTTTTTTTTTAATCTGTATTGTAGCTTTAAATTTGTGATGTGGGGGAAAGTAGTTATTATCTTATCTTTTGCCAATGATCTCGGTACGTCATCTGCCAAACTCCTGTGTTTCCTTTCATAATTCTCTTTTCAACAGCCTGTCATATTTGTAGGTTTATTGAGAAATAATGGACATACGTCACTGTCTAAATTTAAGGAGCACTGCTTGATGGTTTGATTTACATACATTGTAAAATGATTACCACAATAGGTTTAGCTAACATACATCTTCTTAGTATAGATACAATAAAAATAAAAAAGGAAAAGATGTCCTTGTGATGAGAACTCTTAGGATTTACTCTGTTAAGAAACTTTCTATATATCTCAGCAGTGTTCTCTATAGGCATCCTGGTATACATTACTAGTATTTATTTTTATTATAACTGAAAGTTTATAACTTTTGACCACTTTCCTCTAATTTTCCTTTTGCCTACCTTCTGTCTCTAGTAATCATAAGTTTGATCTTTTTTTCTATGAGTCTGAGGGATATTTTTTGCTTGGTGGTTGTTGTTTTTTGTTTTTAAGATTCCACATATAAGTGATATCATACAATATTTATCTTTGTCTAACCTATTTTACTTACCATACTGCATAAGTCCATCCGTGTCTCACAAATGGTAGGATTTCTTTTTTATGGTTGAATAATACAGCAGGTCCTTAGGTTATGTTTTATTCAATGTCATTTCATGATAACTTAACTCTTGTTTATATCAATTAGCCTGTGTAAATTGGTGTCATTATATATCTCTTTGCTGCAGTTCAAATAACCTATTGATGATGTTAAGTTTTAGGACTTACTCTATTACATTGTGTACATACCACGCCTTCTTTATGCCTTCACCAGTCTTGGGACACTCAGTCATGGGACACTCCTTCTATTTTTAGTTTTTTGAGGATACTGCAGACTGTTTTTCAATCTGGCTGTACCAATTTCCATTCCCACCAACAGTGCACAAGGCTTCTCTTTCTTCACATCTTTACCAGCATTTATTACTATCTTTTTGATGATGGCCATTCTAACAGGAATGAGATGCTGTCTCATTGTGATTTCATTTGCATTTCTCTAACGACCAGTGATGTGGAACACAGCCTGTAGTCTTGACAGACTGGGTGCTGTTTGTGAAGCACAAATGAGAAGAACCAAAGTCTCCCTAACAAGAGGTATAGGTAAGGTATTCCTTCTTTCTTAAACTCCAATTACAGATCCTGGTAGTTGTGGTCTACGGATTCCACTTATAGTCTCCTGCACAGCTTAGAGAAAAACAAAATAGGCCACTTTTTTATTTTTCCAAATGTTGATTTTATTCTTTTGAGGCAT